TTCGCCTTGCAAGGGGGCGGGGGGAGGGGGAGGGGCAATATTTGTCTATACTATGATCGAAGCATGAAATGAAGCCATTGATGCTGTTATGGATGTGCTGTGTAGTAGTATTAGAGCCTTTTTGACCTTTTCAAGTACTAAGCATGTAGTATAGCAAGTTATATATGCTACAAGATGTAGTTTGATTCAATTGAACTACTATCCGTTTAATCTGTTTCCTACAACGTTCACAACTAGCATTTCACCTGTATAGTAGGACTGTTTCGTATCCCTACCTCATACTACTAGCTAATAAGTAAGGTAGCATCATATATATATCATTGACCTATGTATAGCGAGTATAGAAATAGAAGTAGTAGAAGTACTAGTATTTATAGATAGAAGCGAAATACCGACCTATACAATAAATACACGTATACCGAACACGATACGCATCAACAACAATCAAGGAAACCAACCCCCGATTCCCTCCCCCCATCCATCATCCCATTCAGTCATAAATTGGTTTAGTTTTAGTACTGACTCGGTACAAACTAAAACAGTAGACTTGAGTAGAACTAAACTAAAACTAAACTAAACTAAACTAAACCAGCACCACTATGACCCCCCCACCACCACCCACAGTAACAGCGAAGGAAAGGGCTGGGCTATTACCTATCGTCCCTAGTCTCGAGTCTAGACACCAGGGATCGTCAGGAGTCCTTCGAACGATGGAGAAAGAAGTTGGGGGCAAGGGAAGGGAGGGAGAGGGGGGGCGTGTGTGGAAATGGGTGGGTTGGGTTGGATGGTGCTACACGCTAGGGGAGGATAGGTGTAACTTGGAAAAGAAAGGGATGGACATAGTGGTGGTTAATAAGGTTGGATCTGAGACAGTGGTGTGGTAGTAGTAAGTAGTTGGGAGGCTGGGTGTGGTGTTGTTACTGCTTGCCTGCCAGCCTTTTGGGGCTGAAGCGAGATGTGTGAAGTTAGTTGTTTTGTTTGAGGATTTGAGATGTGGATGGGGGCTAGTTTGGGGGGAAGATGTGTGTGTGAGGGAAATTGTTGGTTTGGTGGTGGGATTTTTCTTTGTAGTGATGGTTGTGCGTGTGTGTATGTCTGAGAGGGGTTTTTTTTCCCTTCGGTCAGTCTCTTTCTCTTTCTTTCTTTCTTCCTTGCTCCGTCTCTTTCTCCGACCCTCTCACTCTCTGTGTGTGTGTGTGGCTTCTCTTATCTGCGAGATATTATCTCTCAATGGGGCTCTCCATTATGGCCTTACTGTGGGTATCTGCACAAAGATGGAGGAGTATAAGTATAGTACCTATACTTGTATGGTATGGTATGGGTGGTGCGGATAGTGGGTATCCGTATCTGTTTCGGTATCTCCAATACTTGTTTGGAGAAGGGTATGTAAGTAAAATATACGTAAGGAGAGGGAAAAACAAAAAAGACCCTCGGTGGATCAGCTGACGAGCCTCAGCTGCACCGGAAGAACTGCTTCTTGCGTCGGCATTATTCATTATTATTAGTAGCCATTGACGGCTGGAAGCAGGCGGATGCCTACCGATTCTCATGCAGTGTTCCTGTCCACAGCTGCCCCAGTCATTGGAGTGAGTGAACTCCATATTGGACACGTCTTCCCTGCTGGCTGGGACGATTCTCCCACGAGCAGGATGCACATCCAGACCGCCGGTCCATGTAAGAAAAGAAAAAGAAAAGAAAAATAAAAAGCAAGAAACGTGAAGGGGGGAAACGTGACGGGCTGCACGAGAGATGCAGGTACATGTAAGAGGCGCATAAGCAAGTTCTGGGTTAGTCAAGTTGAGAAACATATTGGCGGTGTGTTCGCACTCAATCTGAGAACTGAGATCTGGGATGACTCAATCGAGTAACCCATCTGAATCTGAATCCTTTCCCCTCTCCTCCCTCTTTTCTTCCCCTCCTTCTCATCCTGCAATGGTTCCTTTTCACCTCCAGGTTCCGAGGTCCACCCCGTAGAGTCCGTAGTCTCCGGTACTAACGATAACCGACCATGGGGAAAGTAGCAATTGACAGCTGACATGACGTTTCCAATTGACTTTCAACGGACGCTGTGAGAGTATCCATTCATCCAACGTCTTTTGGTCGGTTGGAGACGGCCGAAGCACATGTGGGAATTCTGTCATCTCGGGCCCGAGGCAAGACCCATTGGAGACGGAGACCGACTGAACAATCAATCAATCATGACACTTGCTGGGAAGCAACGCGTCCCTTGTACTCAATACTACCATTTACTTTGCAGGTGGCTCGCGTGGTAATTTTCCTTGGTGTTCCTCGGTACCTAAGACTGTACCGCACGCGGTGGAACAGAGAGGAGCACTACTGTTAATTATCCATATCCTCACTGGGTCTCGCAAGCCCGGACATCCTGGTCACTGCATGAATCTGTCTCTTTTAAGATGGGGACTGACCAGGATGGTCGCGTGTCGATTTAATATGATGAGTCGATTTCACCACGTTAAGTGGATATAATAATCCACCACCGCTTGGGCGGATTCTGTGCACCGTTCGCGTCTGCCACCGTCCCCTCCCGTCGGAGCTGTCCTCCAATTCCAGCAGGTAGATCCAGTAGTTAGTACAGCAATGGAGAAGAGCGCAAGTACTAGCAGATATTAGTGGGTTGTGGCTGTAGATGTATGTATGTATGTATAATGTATGTGTATATGTTGTTGTTCCCACCCTTGGCTAGCAGAGTTATGAGAATAACGATTTTTGAGTTAGAGTTATACCTGTCATGTTGGAAAATGTTTGTTTGTGCCTGGCGCGGATGCAACCTTTCACCCAATTGCCATTTACCGGAACCATGGTTCAAGCATCCCCTTCCAGCCCGTGGCTTCCCTCTGGGTCCCCGAACCAATCTGGCAAGTCAACCAGCTTATCCCGACACACAGGATCCGCTCTGGCGTTCACAAGGTTCAGCCAAGCCGAGAAAGCTTCCGTCGGGCGTCCAGTCAAGACACTACAACTTTGGGCTAGCACGACTTCTGTTGCCCGGTGGAGAGAAACGTTGAAACTGGGCCCCGACGTCTCCCCTCTAAGCGAATGAAGATCCGGTGGTGCCTGAGTTTGACGTCTCGCTCGTATTGTCGGGACAAGGGAGAAGCAGGAAAGGAGGAACAAAACATCCCTCGGTCAAATTCGAGGCTGTTCGGATATCATGCTGTTTGGGTTCATAGAGTCTCAGGACTGCTTATGCACTAGGTAGTCCTAGGCACTGTGCTCCGTAAGTCTGTCTGTACCTACCCAGTAGCTGCATGCATGCATGTAGGTACGTATGCATGTCCACAATGAACCCGTCAATCAGCGTGCTCGCCTGCTGACAGTATGGAGTTTACCCCGAACAAACGCGCGAATATTTTGACCTGTGTCTCTCTCTCTCTCTCTTTCGAAGAGTAGTCCGCCGGATAGTAACGGTGCCAATGATAGATTTGTCTTACTTCAGCCGGTGAAAAAATGAAAAATTTTCCAAGATAATGGCCGAAGTCTATGCATGACTTCGATTATCCATGATCCCATTGCACATTGTATCGCATCCATCGCCTATCAATTAATTCACTATCAGCCCTTTGTGGCCGTCGAACCCACCGCCAATACTCGCCCAACGGAAGTCCCCGTGAGATCAACGCGTCTGACCGAGAGCCCCGAGCTGAGAGCTCGGTGCTCGACGGTCAGATAGATTAATTATCATGTTATTGATTCTAGGCCCTTGGGGAAATAGATAATCGATAGTAATCTGTAGCGAAGTGGACTCTGTAGGTCATTGCGGCATCGTTTAGTTAATTGTCTTGGGGGAAGGTAGAACGCATATCATTCATTAGATTACCGTCTCAGCTCATCATTCCATAAGCAACAACGACAACAACAGCTTTGTGTGTGTATGTGTGCGTCGAGGAGACGATTTCCGACCGCTAATCAGCATGTTTGCTTTTTCTCTTAATTTTTCCCTTATCCCCCCTGTCGTTTCGACGGAAGCCCCTAGAACCATGGCTGGAAGCCCATGTGCGTTGTTTTATTGCACCGGAGGAGTTTTAGTGCCTTGAGGGATCTCTCTCTTTCTGTGTGTCTCTCTGTCCATCTCGAGTCCATGTCTAGGCAAAAGCCCGATCGATCAGCGCACGGCGCAATCCATGGACCCCGACAGATAATAGTAATTAAAATTAAGACCGAAAAGGGAAAGCAATCGAGCATAGATTCGGTTGAAGTCCCACTCGTCTGCACACTGTCTCTGCTTCTGTATCCGAGTCTGTCTTCCCCTTTCCCATCTTGGGTGATACCTATTACTCACTTGGGTATCTTGGAGTTGGGGGAACTGCGTAGGTGGTAGTTTAAGGGGCAATTGACTATTAGACGGTTAATAGGGGAGGAGAGTTCGGTCAATTGGGGGCTCATGGGTTAGGCAGTCGAGCCATTGAATGTCTGTGCGAAAGGGGGAAGGGGGGTAAAATAATTCCTTTTCTTTTTATTGCGTATTCCTTCAGAATGGCATCGTGTCGTTATTCCCCACGAAGGATGATAGTGTCTATCTTTGGTTCAACTGCCTCGGGATCGAACGATCCCGTGGGTTAGTCTTAGGAGGTTCGTTCAATTCCCCCCCCCCCCTCCCTCGGTTGCCTCTTTGGGGGGAGGAAGGAGAAGGGAATGATCCCTTCTTCATCTTCCCTTTGATCATGATCTCAAACGCATGTTGCTTTTTTTAAATATACCATATCCACTTTGGGGGAAGATGACGATGACGATGATGTTGCTACTGCAGCTGCGGCGGCGGGACACGACAGATGGGAGAGGTGTCAATGTCAATTCATACTACTACTTACTTACACATACACAGCATACACATGCACAAGCTTGGTTCTGGTTCCATAGGGCCGATTGCTATGTAGGATTGCTATCGGGAAGAGAGCCGTAAGGCGGATCCCAGGATTCAGGATGATAGATCCTGAGACTTGTTAATTACTATTACCTGTTTACTCCGTAAGGCCTTTTTTTGGGGCCGAGGAGCGAGGTCCAGGCATACTTGAGGTAGTAGTTAGTTAGTATCATAGTGGCTGACTGTTACCTTAACTGCTGGCTGAACGGAAGAATATCTGACACCGGTAATGATTGTGTCAATCAATATTAATCCTACAGCTAAAACAAAATGTCCTCGGGCAGGGCCAATGGAAAATTCACCCATTTACTTCCCGAAGGAAGAAAAAGAAAAGAAGACAAAGTTTTTCAACGGTGAACGTGGGCGGGACAAGAAAGTAAAAATGCTAAGGAAAAAAACAAAAAAAGAAAAGATAGAGATGAAAAATAAAATAAGTTGAAATAAAATAAATTAAAATAACAACAGTAGTAGATTTACCATTTTGAGCTTTTATTTTTTGACTGACTGACCCTGCTGGCTGAAGCGGTTGTTTACCTTACGGCATCCGATGCAGTGTTGGGAGAGAGGGGGAGGGAGGGAGGAGGAGGACAATACGCTCAATACCCCTGCCGTCCCGTGTTGTTGGTGTACCGTAAAATAAGTCTGGAACTGGGCTGGGATTGACATCGCCAGTATTTGATGATCGTCTCGTCTCGCTCCTTTCCCTCCATCTACAATTTCTACTACTAGTATAGTCCTCTTCCCTGCGCCCCCCTCTCTCCTTCACACTCTCTCTGGTCTCTTCTTTCTCTGTTCTAGCCTACCCCGTCTCAATTTCTTTCCCTTCATCTTAGTGTGGGTTTCGTAGTAGTTTGTTGCTGCTCTTTTTATAGTGCTGGTTGTGATCGTTGTCTTTTCCCGGTTCACCCAGTGTTTTACCCTCGTTTTCCCCAGAATTTAATCCCATACCTTACTACTTACTACTACTTTTACTATTTCACTACTTCACTATCTACGGACTAGTCCCGACCCATCATTCCTTTTCGTTGGTACTGCGGCCACTAGTTTGGGTCCGTCCAGTAAAAACCACTTGCTCCCTAAACTGTTATTGCGACAGCGACGGCTGGAACTTTACTTTACGGCTCATTTACTCCATCCTTTGCCCACATCTGTTGTCTCCATATCTTCACACGCTCTCTCTTGATTTCTCTTACTTACTCGTACTCTCTCCACTATCTTTCTCTCTCTCTCTCTCTCTTTGCTTTCCCCTCTTGCAATTGATCTATCATTTCCATTTTTCCTTTTGTTTTCCCCTCCCCCATCATCTCATTCCTTCTTGTCACCTGTGACCCAAATTTTTGGATACGTTTCCCGCAGCCGTTTCAACTTTCAATCTAAAACACTCAAGAAACTTTCCGTGGCTCTCGACACGGGGCATGCGCTTTCAACCTCGACCTTGAAAACCCGCCAATCTTCAGCTCGTCGGTGCTCACGACTGCTTTTGTGTCTCCCCAGCTCTCTGGTGTGCGGCATCTTTTCCCTACCATGGTCAAAGCTAGGACCATCCCATCACAATCGGAGGCTTAACGGTCGCTCACTTGCTTCGCCTTGCTCATTTGGCCGCCCCCACGACTCGGTCATCGCCCACCTGGATTCCCTGATATATAGTCAACATACCTTCCCTCTGTTCCTCTGATGCAGGCTTCCCACCCGCCAGTGTCCATTCACACCATGTCCCAGCAGGATCTGGACCGTCCCTCCGCCAGAGCACCCCATAACGAGTCCCCCGAACCATATTCGGTCCACACCCGCTCCAGGTCAACTGCACATGCGCATAGTCCTAAGCGGCTGTCCGTGTTCAGTGGCCGCTCTCGCAGTAACACCACCAACTCTACCACCTCTTCCCGCCGTTCCCCCGCGTCTTCCATGACTTCCGTGGATGCAGCGTCGCTGCCGTCGCATGATGACCGGGCAACCTCGGCGGCTGGTGTCCGCCATGAACGGCCCGAGAGCGTGACCAAGTCGCTCCTTTCGCGGGGAAGCAGGATCCTCCGTCGTCAGGGAAGTAAGTTTCACATTGTCTCCACGCTGGACGAGGAGGATGAAATGGAGCGTGAAAAGCCTCGCTTTGAAGTCTCGGAGATCTTCAGCCGGAACAAGTCACGCCATAGTGATGCGCGTAAGTCACTCCTGTCACATGCGGATTGCGCTGTAATTGTCGACATTGTATCCAATGCTCACACAATGGACTCGCCACAGATGACCAGCTGAAGAATCTCATCTCGGATCCTTTTGACTTCCACCATCTGACTCATACAAGCCCGTCCCAATTCCAATCGCTGGAAAAAGCCCGGGAAACTGACTTGGTCACTGAGTTCTCGGCCATTCGTGCCTCTCAGAGGCCTGTTACCAACCTAAAAGGAATTCGTGCTGAGGACCTGCACTTCCGTGACTTCTCCACGGAGGATCTTACTCAGTGTGGGACGGCCATTGGCTGTGACGACGTTGTTCCCCCTCCGCCAACTAGTCCACCAGCATCTCCAGGTGGTTCCTCGTCGGTGAGTCCTAAGCAGCGCGACCTCAGAGGACGAAGAGAATCGCGCGTCATTGAGAACTTCTCGCGGCCTGTCCCAAGGTTTCCTAGAGTTGGGTCAACTAGCCCGCCGCCGAGAGCCTCCTCCCCGAGGCTGGCATCGTCCCCCGAATTACCTGAGCCAGCTCCTCGCGCCATTGACGAGATCTTGGGTCTGTCAACCCAACCGACATACCCGGAGCATGTATACTCGCATACCGAGGATGTAGAACATGGTGCTGCTTGGCCGCAGATCCCTATGGAAGACATGTTCCAGCCTCCTTCGGGCCATTCCTTCCCGACCAGCGTCAACAACGAAGTGATGAATGCCCGCACCTCGTCAATGTCCTTACCCACTCTGTCGTCAGACTTGGAAGACGTGCCAGAAGAAGAGGAGCCGGCCCCCTGGCATGAAGGAGCCGGCCTCGAAACTGACGAGGTCTCTCCTCGCGCGCCTGTTATGTCAAGATCTCCACCTCTGTCTGAGGCGCAATCTCTATCCAACACTTCCCTGGCTGGCCCTAGGTCCGATTTGTCCATTTTTGTGGCCGAAGACTTGTCAAGAAAGTTCGCCGAGGCACTGGGCTCCCCCACCCTTCCACAGGATCGTATTGCACCACTGCAAGAGTCCATGGCTCGGGAGCCAGTCCGAAGGAGATCCTCAGTCAACTTGAAAGCCATCCAAGAAACTATATATGAGTCTTGGGACGCAGACATTGACTACTGCTATGAACATGCTGCCGAGTCGAATTGCAACTTTGACTGGACTCGCAGTTCACTTGACGAGGCTCGACAAGACGATGCGGAACACGGGGTTACTGGCGCAGATGGGAACACTGCGATGTTTGAACCAATGCGGCTGAGCGCGTCGGCCTTGCCCGCTGCGGACCTGGACCATGTCCCCAGCGCACAGGTAGTGGTTACTTCCACACTAGATGACAACACTGGCATTGCTGTGACGCAACGGGACAGTGATTATTTTCAGCCTGTGAGGTTTGCCCCTACCTTGGGGAAACATATTAGCCCCGATTCGCTGTACGATGAGTATTTGACGGCGGACACGGAGTCAGACCGACACTTCGCCTTCTACTCGCAGCCAGGTGTGATCCAGCCTATGGACCAGTCTGTGTCTCCCCGGAGCAGCTTTTCCCCCATCAGCAAGTGTAACTCCCAGGAAAGTTTGATCCTGTCCCGCGCCGCGTCGGTCGTCCGCAAACATCGTTCCTCCGTATCGACTGCTAGTGTTCCTGATCTGGTGCACAGTTTGGCAAGCAGCCGTGAGTTCCACCCATCTGAGCAGAGACTCTCAGGTGAACTTTCGGGAATGGGGCGCCCCGAATCCTCCCATCACCGGCAGACCAAGAGCCTGGCCCGCGAAGTTGAAGCCCAGCTTCTTTTCCGAGCCGATGGCGACGCAAGCCCCGAGCCTTCAGGCTATGCGTCCACCGTGGGTCCTTCCATCCACGACAGAGCCAAGTCCACCACTGAAGTGGAGGCAGGCCCATTGATTGCCAGAGCCATCAAGAATGATGCTGCCTCTAGGTCCGCCCCTCGGCGCAAGGGCCGAGCATCCTATTCTCTCTTCCCCACTCCTGCAGCCAATTGAGCTGCAATCAACCCGACGACAACTTGCATCCATCACAGACCCCTTGTTCTCAGCATTCTGCAACATTCCGTTCCTCATCCGTTCACTTATAGAACTTCTTCAACGACTTGATGATTCTTTTTTTTTCTTCCTCATTGTGGTGGCTTGCGTTTCGATTTCTCTGCGATGAATGTTATCTATTGAACCGTCATTCGGTCCCAATCTTGCGGGCTACGCGCTTATGTTTTCTTTGTTATTTCCTCAGATTTTCTTCACTTGCATTTCCTGGTGCATTTCTCAGCGACTGTTTTCCTCGGGAAGAAAAAATCTTGGGTGTTTTCTGGCAATGGAGGATTTGGAAAGGACAGTGAACGGGGTTTCAGTCGGAGAACATTCGTTCGGATTTATATTTTTCATTTTGTTGGTCTCGGTTTTTGTCTGGGTAGCTGCTGCAATTGCAGTGGCACTTGTGTTGTTCAACATCCATTGTCGATTTAGGTCTGTGTCAGTATATAGATAGAGCAGGAAGGGATAACTGGGTCTGTCTGGGAAGAGTTGTTTGATACGAGGTTTACACGCGGGCAAACCGTGGAGAGGAAAAAGTGATGATTATAACATTTGATATTACTGTCACTATAGCATGAAAAGCGCTATTCATTGATTCAGTTTTCAAGTACTGGGAATTGTAGTAGCAGACGTTGAAACAAGTAAGCCCACGTGCATCAGGCTAGACCAGACCACCTGATCGCCATGTGACGGCAGCTCTCACCGCCAACCAGGGCGGTCTGGATATTCTGCCAGTAGTGTTGCTCCTTCCTCTGCTGATATCGGGGATCGCTCTTTCCATGTTCGTCATCCACGCTTGGTCGCAGACGAGCATGTCGTCTTCCTTCTTCCTTCGCCTCTTCATCATTTAGCAATCTTCTTCTTCGATAATTCTACGCTTATGTCTTTGTCTCACGCGCAATCACCAGTCATGTCTGCCGACTCTCAGGCTCTGACCAAGCGTCAAAGCGAAACCAGCCTTATGCCCCCGCCGCCGCCACCCAAGCGTATCAAGCGGCCGGCCACTGTGTTGGACGAAGATATCTACACCAATGCTCTGTCGGAGATTATCGCGCGTGATTATTTTCCTGGTCTCCTGGAAGCCCAGGTGAAGCAAGAGTACTTGGATGCGCTTGATTCGAAAAACAAACAATGGATCGCAAGCTCCAAGAAGAAATTGACCGACCTGTTGAAGACACCGGGAAGAGCTCGATCGCATTCCGGATCAGCCAATATGACACCACGAGCAACCAATTCGGGACGCCCTGAAGACACCCCGATGGGCTGGGGTGGAGATACACCGATGTTAGTCATGTCAACAACTTCGTCATCTACTACACCCAACGTCGACCATGCTACGATACCGGATGTGTCTCGCCTTGGGCTGCTAGAGTTCCAGGCCAAATATACGAGTGAAGATAATGAGTCGTTCAACAAGCTGCTCGATAAACAGAATGAAAAGCACCGCGAGAGATATAAATGGTTGTGGAGTGGGAATAAAATACCGACTGCTAGACAGATTGCGCATCGGCGGCAAGAAGCTAAGCGGATCGAGGCACAAGGGGGTAACCCAGATCAGCTCAAGCAGGTGGCCATAAAGACTGACCTGGACGCCCGGCCCGCAAATCCTGATACCTGGAAGACTCAACCCGAGAACTCGCTCATGTTTGCGCCTTCTTCCATAGAGGACTCATATGAAACTATACAGCAGAAAGCCGAAGCGTCATCGCGCGCAGGGCCCAAGCGGGTAGTGTTTCAGAACACACGATTACCAGATGAGAGCGTCCAGCAGACGTCATCTGCCACAAATGCACCCCCGCCCTCACCTTCGATATCGGCCATTAAAGATGCTATTGCCGGACACCCTCGCCCCACCGAATCTGAAGCAGTATATACAGGGGGTGAGACGCCACGAGTGAATGGGTATGCCTTTGTGGATGAGGATGAGCCTGAATATCCCCTCGCTTCATCAAATGACAATAACGATTCTGCGATTTCTCTGGATGATATTCGCCTGCTTGGCGGCAGTGATGCCACACCGAATCCTTTTGAGATCAAAGAAAACCGGAGACGAGAGGATATTCACCACCGCATGGTAGATCGCGTAGCGAGGTCTAAGCGAGCGGAGAAGTCCCTTCGCGAAACAAAGACCCCTGTAACGCCACGGTTCGCCAGCAGCCCACGACTGGACTTTGGTCTGCGCACCCCAAGTGCAGCTACGCCAGGAGGGAGGACTAACAAAGCGTTGACTCCCGCAGCACAGAAGTTACTTCACCAGGTGGGAAGTACGCCTCGTCTAGCGGCATCGTCCTCGAGTTCATCTCTGAGGAACATGTGGACACCGACCCCGAAAAGGGGCAAATAATGTGGTGTCTTCTTTCATACAAATTTCTCTCTTTCCCCTTGAAAGCAAAATGAGTTAGCGCTTGTGTTTCGACTTGACATTATTAGATACCAGGGATTATCGCGGCGTCATGAAAGGGGATTATATGCTATCATGAGTTAATGGTTAGAAGGGTTCGACATCTTTACTACAACAGTTGCCGTCTGCATTTGGGCATCTGTCATATGGCAATGTATATACTAATTCGAAATTGTGAGGTTTATTACTAGCTAGCTGCCTTTGGTCTAGTGTTTGAGACAGATCAAGGCAAGTGTAAAGACTTTTTCTGGGTGTAGAGAAGACAGGCCCACCTGCCAACTATAAGCAAGTGTATTTTTACAGCTTACGTCCCAAAACACTTCTCATCTAGGGGCCATAATAGGTGAAAATAACAGATACGAACTCCTGGCTGTAACATACAAGCTATCCTTACGCAGAGGGGAATTCCCATCTTCGTATCAGCTATGCACATGCAATGCCTCTCTGATCCAGCATTATGACTCCACCATCTATGCCCGCTCCAAACATAAAGCAGACGATCTATGTATTCCACAGTATACATACCCGATGCATGTCGACTAACGAAATAAGAAAAGAAAGAAAGAATAAGGAAGTCAAAGATTCTGGGGAATAGTGACACTCGTTCGAATTAATTGCGTGCGAAAAACTTCCTTCTACCCAAGAACCCAGAACAAAGTCCAAACACTTATCACCAAATAGAGGGAGATCCAGATGCTCTCATGCAAACTGGAAACAGCATTAAGATAATACGCTGCTCCAAGATAACTGCACGTGATGTCACCATTAGGGTCGCGTGTGCCGTACGACATATTCGCCCGCGGGCCTTCCGGACAGCTGAAGCCTAAAATCGAAGGACAATTTCGGACAAGGCTATGGCAGACGCCCTGGCAGGGGAGAACTTCCTTGTATGGACCGGGGCGGATTTTGCTGTCGATGAGGGGGTTACGTGAGTTGTTGGTAGCGGGGCTTTTGAGGAGGGAGGAGTTGGTGATGGAGGTGCCGTTGAGGAAGGGCTGGCCTGCATTCCGGATCTGAAGGTAGGTGGCGTTGCTGGAGAAGTCTGCGCATCGGGGGATTGTCACGGCGCAGAGCCATTGCTTGTATGCTTCGGCGCAGGTGTCGCAGGATACAGCGAGGGAGAACATGCTCTCGCTGGAAGTATTGCATTGGACTTGTTGAAGGGAGTAGTTGAAGTTCTTGTATAGGGATGCTGCGTTGTCGTCGTAGATACTGCGGAGTTCGGTCATGTTGATGGAGGGGTTGGATGGCACTGCGTAGGCGACTTCGGAGCAGAATGGCAGGTCGTATACAACGGCACAGTTGTCATCTGTTTGGTCCTTCGTTAGGGTACATTTAGGCCGTGGCATTGGGGCTCATTGTCTCTCACCTGTTTTGGTTGTAAAGTTCATGCGTGGCCATACTTTACCTCCACCTCCCACGATTCCATTGCCCCAACTGGTGGAATTGCCCTCACGGGCCATGATTCCGTAGTAGGTGGAGGTTTTGTTGAGACCGGTGACATAGAACTGCTCGGTTGGCCTGTCTACTGCACCCCGGGTGGTGAGGCTCGCCTCAACTTTGCTCTTCCCAATCTGCGCCAGCGCATCGAGAGCGCAGAATGACCGTTCTAAGCCAGAGATAGACGAACTGTTGATGTTGTTGGCGAACATTGTGTATGGAGGGGTCCTGTCCATCCAGAAACTGTAGTTCTGTGACGTAAGATCGGTGGTGGTGAGATTTCTCGTCGTCAGAAGCGCTGCTCCAGTGTCCGAATCAACTAAGAACATGAATTGATCACTCTCGTCGACGCTATGAAAATAAGCATCTGTCGAGGCCGCAATCTGGTAGGTGAAAGAACCAGAATATTCAGTGCTATTGGGAGCCGTCACTCCGACATAGACATCACCGTTCGCCGTAAGGGTCATGCCCACATAGCCCTCCTCCGCTGATTTGATTGTCCGGTCAAACTCGGACTTGTCAGGCCCAGGCTTCTCTATCGAATCAGATGCGTAGACTGTCAGCTGCGGTACAGCCGCTGTGATAGTGGAATCCGAGTTGTTGTGGCTGGGCTTCGAGCATGCCGTGAGGGACAAATAAACGGTGGTGGAACGCTTGGAAAGATCACGACGCTTATTCTCAGAGGTGCTGTTCGTCTCATCGCCATTCACGGGGAAATACCACCACTCCGTCTCGCCCATCTTGAGAGTGCCATTCTGATACTGATTGTTTCCGAGAGATGTCACCCCAGTGGGAGCCCGGCGAACCAAGTCGAGTCCGCGCGTATCTCCCTCTTCGTCTACCGCATCTTCGAACTCCAAACCGTTGTATTCTGCGAGTGGGAAAGCGAATTCCGGACTAGCCTCACCGAAGAGGAATTGGCCATGACTTCTGGAGGCCAGGGTTGAGGAATCTGGCAGGGCAGTCTCATCCGCAGTCGCAGTCGCAGTCGCAGTCACTCTGCCAACGCAGATGGCCAAGGCAATTGCGCATCCGAGTACCGCGCGGACAGTCGCACGCTGGCGGCACTGTAGGCGTGGCGGTATAAGCCGAACGAACATTCAGGATGATTTAAGGATGGTTGATTGCGAAAGGAAAGGCATCAATCGACGTCCATGGGCTGTCTTGTGCCGGAACGTAACAATTTCCTCTCACGGCGGAGGCCAGCCGAATTGTGAGGGGAAATGCAAGTGCCAACGGGGATGGAGATGCGATCGGGGGCTACCCCATGAACACAAACAGCATTCGTCCCGTGTGACGTGAGTCCGTTCAACCTGGAATTGGAAATCCCAGTCGGTTGGCCGCTTGAATTAGGGAAGATGGGCCTGAGGTCATGCTGGCTGGAGAAGAAAAGAGTCTGGACTCTCGTAAGGTGTGGGATTTGCCGGTTGCCTGGAGGCTCCGAATCGCAGCTTATCTTGGCGCCGCCACTCCACCTTCTCCGGAAGCCTTAGCATATACTACTAACAATTTCGTGCATCCATCCCACCCCCCCTTACTCAAATTCTACGGTATGTTTTCGTAGCTTAGGAACAAATATTTCCTTCATGCATATGCATATCATTCACTACTACAAAAAAATTGACCCATTCATGTCCAACGGATATTTACGTGCGTGATCATATTGACAAAGCAACCCCTTCCCATCCCCCCCCGGCTCACCCTGCTAGGCTCACACGAGCTTGTAGCAGCGAGCCACTACTCCGCTGAGAATGACAATAGCTGCAATAACCCCAAGAATTCCAAAGAACCAGCCAAGTCCTGCCGCATCTTGCCCAGGGACGCGGACGTTCAT